CTTGGGCCTAGAGATTTATTTCAACAAGTCATATGGTAACTAGTCTAAATTTTGAGAAGCAAACGATTTCCCAAAGTGGCTGCACCATTTCGCTTTCCCAGCAGCAATGCACAAGGGTCTTTGCACATAAATTCCTAAGAGCCTCTGTAGGGGGTGGTAGAGGGAATTTTATTCTCATCACAGGGGAAGAAGGGACCTCCTGGGGATAAAGGTGGGAGCATACACCCTTGGGATGCCCAGAAGAAGGGGACTCCCAACACAAAATTGGCTCTAAATACTGAAGTGACTTTGGCAGAGACCAAATTGGACAATAAAACCATGGTTTCCCCTTAGAAAGAAAGAGAAGCCCCCAAAGAGGGTGGTTCTATGTACGTCACATGGTTCTTTTTCCCTCCTCAGCTGTCGGAGGAAGGAGAGATTGTTGATTTGTTGCTGATGAAAATATTCGGTTTCCTGGGTATTAAATGTAAAAAAGAGGAGCCTGGAAATAGCAGTGAGCAGCCCAAGTAGCAGTCAGAGGCCCGGTCCCCTCCACCTGTACCAGCTGCACCCAAGGGTTAAGGTCTTCATCCACACATAAGCATCTGTAGAGGGGGGAAGGCCAGAGCCTTAGAACTATGTTTATTGGTGATTCTACAGTCTCTCTGTATGTTTTCCTGTGTGCACAGAAAAGTCACCAAGCCTGGCAAGTGAAAAACTAAGAAAAATATATATACAGATATGTGCAATTGCCACTACTGTAATAGACTGTTCAAATGTATTTGCTTCTAGAAATAAAACAAATATCGTCTGGAGTTTGGGAAAAATAATCTCTATGGACTATTTCATCTTCTTGGTTGGTCAGGGGTTGCTTCTGAATGATGCTAGTTCAGGGTTTCTCAAACTGTGTCCAAGAGATGTTAATGGCTGTCATAAGTTGGCTACAGTTGCCAGAACAAAGTACCACAAACTAGGTGGCTTAAAATAACACATATTTATGGTCTGCATTCTGGAGGATAGAAGCCCAAAATCAAGGTGTCAAGGGGGACATGTTCTCACCAAGACTCTGGAGAAGAGTCTTCTTTTCCAGCTTCTGGTGTCCTTTGGTGTTCCTTGGCTTGAGGATGCATCATTCTAATCTCTGTGTCGTCACATGGCTTCTTCCTGTGTCTGTCCCTGTGTTTCTTTTCCTCTTATAAGTTCTCTAGTCATATACCGGATTGAGGGCCCATCCTACTCCATTACGACCTCATCCTAACTGGTTATATCTGCAACAACCCTATTTCCAATTTTGATCACATTTGGAGTATTGGGGGTTAGGACTTCAACATATCTCTTTAGGGAACAAAATTCAACGTAACAGGTGTCATTCCCTCAGAAATGTTTCTGAATCAAATAAATGTGAGAAACACATTTGTATAAAAGGTTATACAATTCTTTGGTATGGGAATTTTTAATATGCTAAACAGGCACCGTAGTCTCCTGGGATGAGATGAGCACAAGAGATAAAGTGTATAATGACTCCCAAACCTTTCTGACCCAGGCATCCAATACTGCAGCACCTCAGTCAGAGCTAGTGTTCCTTAGATGATACTTTGGGAATTGCTGCTCTATACCAGTGGTTCACAACCTTGGCTGCATGCTAGAATCCCCGGACTTCATTCCGATACATCAGAACCTCTGGGCTAGGACCCAGGAACAATAGTTTTAAAGCCTCCCCAGGTGATTCCAATGCACAGTCAGACTTGATAACCATGCTCTAAATTCTGAGAACCACAGATCTAGATTATAAAAGGCTTTCAGGTGTCTATGTGGATAAGGGCACATTTCCCCTCCCCCATGCAGGGGACACACCTCCCATATCCTCTCCAGCTCACCCATCTGGTCCCTCCTCCTCACATACCTTCGGAAACAGATCCTCCAGGCTGCCTGCCTGGTTCCATCTCATATTTTCTTCCTTGCTATCAGAACTCAACTTTGTTCAGGTAGACCTCTACCCCTTTCCCACATGACTCATGGGAAGGTTACCCTGTAGCTACCTAAGGTAAATACTGATTTGTCTTAGTAATAATAATCCATTTCCCTTGATGTGAGGATTTTAGGGTAGTCACATGACCCAGTTCTGGCCAATGAAAATTTAAGTCTCCAGGACACTTCCTGGAAAGGTCTACTTGCTAATAAAAAGAGACACATAGACATGGGGTCTTATGCTGCTAGATATTGTCTGGTCTGAACAAGACTTCTGGAACTTTGGCAGCTACCTTGAGACCATGGGGAGCAATCCGAAGATAGCAGAGCAGAAAGATGAGAGGAACATGAATGCTTGATCACTGACTTAATCAACCCTGGAGCTGAACTACTGTCTTCTATCTGGATGAGAGCTTCAATGTTTTTTTATGACAGGTGAATCCGGATCCCGCCCTGACCAAAAAAACAAAAAACAAACAAAAAACCACACCCAGGATCCTTTATAAAGAGCCACACAACATTGAATATACACAAAACCTTGGGGATTTCATCATCTTCTATCCAACCAAAAGCCCATCATCTATTCTTTATTGTGTCACGTGTGAACATGAGTTACATGTGCAGAGATGTTCATCAAATAACCCATAGCAAGGTGTACACACATGTCCCAATAGACTGGTACAGAGACCTACCCAGATATGTACAGTCTGGGTTTTTTTTTTTTAAGATTTTATTTATTTATGAGGGAGAGGGGGAAGGGGAGGGGGAGAGCGAGGGAGAGAGAATAAGCCAGGGTAGAGGCAGAGGGAGAAGCAGACTCCTTGCTGAGCAGGGAGCCCGACTCAGGGCTCAATCCCACGACCCCAGGATCATGACCTGAGCCGAAGGCAGACGCTTAACCAACTGAGCCACCCAGGTGCCCCCATACAGTCTGTTTTAAATAGGAAAAGTTCTAAGATCTGGAGAAGTTGTAGGTTCTTCATCTCTCTCATCTTTCCCATCTACTCTCCACTCCTTTACTGACTGTAAATATCAAATGGGCAACTCCTTCAATTGTATTGTTATGAGAGGAAAAAAAAAAGTTTAACAAGATGAGTGCGCCCCTTCTGAGACACTTGAAAGAAAACACCACATGCAATTTTCAGGTGTCTGTACCAAATGTGCTATGAGATGACCTTTCAAATCTCAAGCCATGGATGTTACAAAGATTATTAGTTATGAAAAAAAATTTTTTATTACCCTAATGCTTATTAGATTAAAAAAAATGACACATTTCCTATTGTTTTGGTGGAAGGGCATGTGATATGGTCCACAGACTGATATGTGACCTTGTTCTTCCCACCAAATGCATTAGTCGAGCTGGAAACAAATATTTTAGGGAAGGGTTTGCAGTATGCTATGTTGGCTTATAATGAAACAACAATAAAACAGGATATTGACATAGAAGCTAGCCAAGATCTGGAGTTTGGAAAAGACCACTGTGAGCCAGTCAGCTTCCCAAATAGAGGCACAAAGAACAGAGCTTAAGAGAAGTTGACTGTGAATCCGACTAGAGGTCAAGTCCTGCTACTGCCACCTAATAGCTGCTTAAGCTATAAATGCTTTCCTCATTCTACTCTTGGGCAAGTCATTTAACCTTTCTGAGCCTCCAGTTCCTCACCTATGAAATGAAAGTAATACCTATCAGAAAGCGGTTTGGAGATTAAAAAGGTAATGTTTGGGGCATCTGGGTGGCTCAGTTGTTAAGTGTCTGCCTTCCTCTCAGGTCATGATCCCAGCCTGCTTCTCCCTCTCCAACTCCCCCTGTTGGTGTTTCCTCTTTTGCTGTCTCTCTCTGTCAAATAAATAAATAAAATCCTTATAAATAAATACATAAAAAGGTAATGTTTGCAGACCCTGACACATACCAAGGGAAAGGAAAATGGAGCACGACAGCCCTTGCAAGCCACTGCACAGATGTGCTGACACTGCCCCTTTTATGAGTAGGGTGGAAGCTCAGTGTAACAACATGAATCTGCCAAACATCCCTGCACACACTCACATCACTTTAAGTTGCCCACCCTGTAATAATGAGGATGTGGAGCTTGATGTGTTTTTCACTCTGGTGTTTCTTTGCCGATTCCTGCCCACTCCATAAAATTTGTGTTGAAGGTGAGGTCTTTCCCAGAACTTAATTATTTTCTGTCTCCTTGGATGGGAACATGATTTCTGCTTTTCTCGAAAGGCCTTGGTCATGGGCTGGCTACTTAAACAAGGAAGTGACCATGCTGGGCTTCAACTTTGCCTTTTGATTACTCCTGCATTAGCCGACTGGCTCCCACCCAGTCTCCACCAAGGAGACATTCCCGATCCTCAGACAAGTCCTTGCACCTCTACGAGGTTCATGATTCTGTCTGTCCCGTTTGGGGTACCCAGACCTCTTGGGAACTGTAAAGTAATAAAGTGGGTTCCTGGATTGTTTCCAGTATTTTGAAATATCAAAGAGAAACTGTGTCAGAGCTCCTATGGCCAATGCCCAACAACCCGCTTCGTTTGGAATGACTCAGTTTAGACCTGGCTATGAACCCTGCTCTGGGTGACCTTGATCCTCTGTAGAAGGAGGGGAGAGTATCCTTTAACAGGACTGGGGACACTACCTTCCCGGGGACCTCAGGGGCCCAACGGCACAGGAATGCGCCCCCGCGAAGCCATCTCTGCCCGGAACCCCCTCAGTGCCCCGGGGCGTCTCCCACACTAGTAAAGCTGGAGCTGCTGACCTTGCACTTTCACTAGCCGTAAAGCGACTCCGGGGAACGAGGTCCTGCCCCGCCCCGCGCCGCACCGCAGCCCCCGACTCCGACCAGCTAGTGCGCTAGGCCCCGCCCCTCACCGCCTGCCCCTACCGGGCCGCATTTCGGCCGCATATCCCCGCCCCTTTCGCGCGCGTCGCCCTATCCGAGGCCGCGCCCGGCCTGGAATCCCCGCCCCCGCCCCACCAAGCCCCTCCCCCACGGCACGGACCAGCCGGCTCGCTCCGGCTCGCTCCGGTCCGGGGCCGCCCCCGCCCCGCCCCTGCCCCGCCCCTGCCGGCTGGGGTTCCCGAGTCCCTTGCACCGCGACCCCCGCACGTCTGTGAACATGGCGCTGCGAGCGGTGCGGAGCGTGCGGGCTGCGGCCTGCAGTCTGCGCGTCGCCTCCGCGCCCGCCGCACCCTGCCTGACGCGGCCCTGGGGGCTGAGGGCGGGCGCCGTCCGGACACTGCGCACGGGCTCCGCTCTGCTCTCCGGTAAGCGCGCGGGCGGGCACGTGGGGGAGAGCCGGGCTGCTTGGGGCGACAGGGCTGGGCGCCTCCCTCCCCGGGTCGCTGCTTACCTCGAGTCCCCAGTGCTGACACCCGGGTCAGGCGAGGCGACCCCTGCCCACGCTTCTTTCTACTGCTGGGATCCCCAGTTGCGTGGCCGACACCGCAGCCTTTGTCCTGAGGGTTGGGGAGCCAGGAGGAGGAAGCCTGGAGTACACGCGCGACTGCCAAGTGCGAGCTCGTTCCACGGGAGCGCCGGCCGCTCGCTGCTGGAGAACCATGCAAGCGTCGCTAAGCTCCTTCGCGACCTTAGGTTATCTCGCGTGTGTGTGCATCGTGGGCCCTAAAATTGGAGACATGGTAGGCTTTAGTTTGCTACATGGACTGTCACTGAGATCTCTAAAGTAAAATTATAGAGCGCTTAATGTAATTAAAGCACTGGAGCTAGATTTTTACTAGCAAAAGTGAGCATAACTTGGAAGACTTGGCTCTTTCCTACAAACTGAGATAAAGTCTTTGGGACTCTTACACTCTGCTAAAACCTATATTGAGTCATGGATGTGTTGGGACAGAAATGAGGCCTCACACGGACATGCAATTGAAATAACTGGGGGCCCTGCCCACAAATGTCTTGGTCATCTGTGCTACTATACTTTAGCACAATTATCACCTCAGAAAAAGTTTTCTTACTGCGTGCACAAATGATTGAGATGCTAATGCACGTCCAAGAACTCAGGCTTCTTTCTTAGGGGTGCATAAGCCTGTGATGGCAGTTGTCCCGTTAAGTTCACTGTTTTAGAAACCTGGTTGGGAATGGAACACTTGATGACATTTATTCTAGTCTGAAACATAAAGATGCTTCTCTTCCGTTGCTAATATATTCCTTTAGTTCTGTTGGTGACACATATCAGTAATTACCAATTTGAATACAAAGGGGAAAGCATATCTAAGAGAAGAAATGAATTCCAAGTCTGGTGGGGTTTTTTTTGGTTATTCAGTGTGACGCTTACTGCTGGCTTTTTGCAGTTTCCAGTTAGCTAGTTAAATATTGTCCAAAATAGCAATAACCCATGATCTGGTCGAACACCAAGGTTTTTAAGAACAGAGAAACCCAAGTTCCAATTTTGATCCTACCTCTTACTAGCTCTGTGATCTTGGGCAGAATCACTTAACTTCTGAGTCTGTTCCCCTCATCAGAAAAATGTAAATGATAATACCTCTACCCCTCAGAGTTGTTGGGAGGATGAAATGAAATAATGTAACCGCTGTACATATAGCCTAACACATAGTAAGTACTTGGTAAATGTTACTCGTTATTAAATATTATAGAATCAAGTAGGTAAAAATGGGCCAATATTTGTTACCTGGCTAGTGACTTTGGAACACTTTCTTTTAGTAAGCTCCATGCTCCACGTGTGGCTTGAACTCATGACCCTGAGATCAAGTCACATGCTCCACCTACTGAGCCAGCCAGGTGCCCCTTGACTTGTGACTTTGAAAGGAGGAAAATGCAGACTTTTCATAAATTACTGAAATGCCTCATTTTGAGGCCAAAAATGATATTCTTAAAGGCTCAGTAAGAAAGTAATTTTTACCTAATCTGTCCACTTTTTTCCTATTAGGCTGAGGGTTAAAGTCAAATTAAACTAATCATTGTCTTTAGCCTAAACAGCTTGGCCTTGTAAAAAGTCTCCCGGACTTTGAAATTAAGTGGACTTAACATGCATCTACCTTACTAATGTTGCTGTCTTTCCTCTAAATTTGTGGTTGTTCAATTGTTAAACTGAGTGTATGTGAGCAACCTTACTCCTAAGATTATCTTTACAATAAGGCAAGATGCCAAGGCCAAAATTGAGACAGTAGTCTCAGAGAAGTCATATTTATTATTTCATAATTTGTATTGTAATCGGCCAGTTCTAGAGTTGTAACAGAGTGATAGGGAGAATTGAGTGTAGCCAAATATGTACAGAGATATTTTGCTCAGAATCTACTTAATTAAAACTAAAGAATTACTTCAGTCCTTAAACTTCTGAGTGCTTATTGTTTGGTAAGCTCTGTGTTGGAACTGGGAATACAAATGAAAATGAGATAATGAGATAAACCATGCTCTTGCTTGCTTTGTACTTCATCTCCTTGCTGGGGAGAATGGACAAAAGGGTTCTATGTGTAGCTCCTTAAGTGCTGTGTATTGTAGGGTCAGGATCTGGAGAGAGTGGTACAGAGTGCTGTAGGAGTCAGTTGGATGGCCTAGGAACCTTGGAGGGCTACAGAAGGCTTCTGGCAGGAAAGAAATTCTAACTTGAAGTACTCAAGAAAAGGCAGTGGGGGAGAGAGTTGCACTCAGAACACCAAGTTAGAAACTTTACGGAAAGATCAGATTGACCTGAAGCATTTAGTTATTTGAAGTGGAATGAAGCAAAGCAAGTTCCTTTGTGACAGATTTTACAACTTCTTACAGTGAAGAATATGAAATTAAAGTTTTTTAATGATTAAGGGAAAAAGAAAGCAGTAAGTTACATTCTGCTGTGTAATCAAAGCATTTTAATGCTGTTTTAAGTACAACTCTCTTGTGGGTAAGGGGTAAGAGTGAACCAGAAAGGCTTACTCGAATACAGCATGTGAATTGATGAACCATTGTCCTATTAACTTCTGAGGCATTGTTTATGGGAAAATATTTGGCCTCAGAATGTGGTAACATAATATTTAAGAAGGTAGCATTATGCTTTTTAAAAAAAATTATTCTTTAAAGCAAGTACTACTAACATTAAATTCTAAATAGCTTTTTTCACATGTCTTGAACTTTGATCAGTCTTTTTTCTAGGAGTCCTTGAATAGTTCGGCCATGTCTTTGAAGAAAAGAAGCTCATAAAGCCAAGGGCTAACCTGTCCATTGAATGTTGAGCAGAACTTGACTTTCCACCAGTTAATGCCTTAGCTCTGAGGTGACTGTTGAGTTCTGATCTTATAGTTCGTTTCTTTAAATGATAGTCGCCACTTTCTTCAAGGGCAGGCTTGAATTCAATGAAAATGGAATTTTAAGAACTTAGTCAAGTTATAATTGTTGCAGGTCAATTTCATTCATGTAAGATTCCACTTTATAACCACGATGCAGTGAAGCCCTCTTAGGTCAACTCTACCTAAAGAGGCACATTTTTTTTTCTTCAGGTTAAATCGTTTATAAGCATTATGAGCATTTATGCTCCCTCACCCCAAGTCTACAGAGGGACAGACTACCTTCTGTAAGACAGACCAGTAATAGATGAGTATACATTTTGAAGTACGCTCCACAATAGTTTGTATGTGTAATTTAGACTAATGTTGGAATAACCAAATCTCCAAAAGATGCACAAGGTGTTATTCACATCAAGCCATCTTTGCCTAAATGATACTACTCTTGAGAAGATGTTCCGTCTTTTCACGTGATCTGGCTTTTCCTGGGCAGTGTATTATTGAAACGCAGTGTTAAGTCAAACACAAATAGTGGGAAAGTCTTGCCTTTTGACAGTATTGATATGAAAAGTGCTTTTTAAGAAGTGATACCACTGCTTTTCTGAAATATTGGTCTTCTATTTTAGTGCGTAAATTCACAGACAAACATGAATGGATAACAACAGAAAATGGTATTGGAACAGTGGGAATCAGCAATTTTGCACAGGTATTGGATTGTCTTGAAATACTTAAAACAGTGTGCTCTTGCCTAAATTGGATTGCTCTACCTTTTAAAGATTGTTTAGTCTGCCCCTTATTATTTTGGGCCCCTTAAAGAACATCAAGTAAACAAGTAAAATATAAATTTAGTTAGAGCAGTATATAGTGCTTTAAGAGATTATTAAAAGGTTAACACTTAGAAGTAAACATACCTTATTAAAGAAAGAAATGTTTCATCTTTGGGCAGTTAAGGAAAAAATAAGAGCAAGCAGAAGGCGTGGGAGTGTTGACAGTGTTTGTGGATACGGTGATATATGCACAACCCCAAGGGATAAAGAAGGAAAACCTAGACTGGCACAGATTAGACAAAGGCAAACCTTTTATGTAGCCAATCTTTTTCTTTAATTTCACTATTCCCACTGATCCCATAATGAGAAATTATTCAGAAGAAAATGAGAAGCCAAATAGCAAGTATGAGTCAGTGATTTTCAACTGGGGCTGTGTGGGGGGGTGGGGCAAGAAGGGGAAACTGTTAACTGATCGGAGTATATACTAGTCTTCAGAAGTGTTGGGATCTCAGGTATTGAGCATCAATGACAATTGTTATCATCACTGGCCTGTATACATACTGAGGCCCAGTACAGGGTACTGTGTACAACACTGTACAAGTGTTGTCTTCACCTCCTGGAGTTTTATCTATGAGGGGAATCACCTACATGGAAAATGACACACAAAACATTATATGATGGATAACCTGCATAGTACAAGGGTTGTAACTCACCTGATGGAGAGCTCACTTCTTAACTTGGAATCAAGATCTTCAGGGAGTACAAGGTATGAGGACTATGATTTACAGATCAGTGGGTAGGATTTTAGCAAATACAGCAGGGGAAATGGCCTAAGCAAAACTGCAAAGGTAGAAAAGCACAAGGTGTTTGTTCTCAGAGGAGCTAGTATATGGGGGGGATGAGGGGGATATGGTTTATGACAGGAGTCACTGCTGCTTGTGGGCCAGGCTAGCTGGTGGCCTGTTTTCTTACAGGTCCTGAGCTAAGAATGTTTTGCATTTTTGAAGAGTTGTAAGAAAAACTAAAGAATGTGGCCCTTGGAGTGTAAAATATGTACTATCTGAATTATAGAAGGTTAGTGTTTGACTTGTTTCTATTCACTAGGAGGTTTAATTTGATTTCTTAAAGGTTTGTGTTTTGTTTGTTTTAGGAAGCTCTGGGAGATGTTGTTTACTGTAGTCTGCCTGAAGTTGGGACAAAACTGAACAAACAAGGTGAGTATTTTTCTCATCTTGGTATATTATCCATGCCGTAAGTTTTTTTTACCTTGAATAATAACTTGTTTACACCTAGGACCAGTTAGAGTGCTTTTTACTCAAGTAATAGAAAACTCACCTAAAAGATTAAAGTTGGGGTTTATTTTATCTCCCTCAAGGAGTCTGGAGATAGGTGGATACAGGGGATTGGCTTAGTGGCACAGTGAAGGGTCATCAAGGACATGACCTCTTTTCATACTTTTTCTGCCTCAGTGTGTCAGAGGTCACAAAATGGCAGCAAAATCTTCAAGCATCACTTTCTCAAATGGCCATATCCAAAAGTAGGGTGAGAAGGTAAAATCTGTTTTTCTTTGGAGGCAGTAAAGAATCTGTTTTTCTAGGTATCTTTGACAATATTGGCCATGTTTTTTTTTTCTGCTTAAACTTTCCCATCATTTATCTTGTTTGAACTTTTTCTGCTTCCTGGCTCTCATATAATATTAGGTCATATCCCTCTTTTTTGAAGGTCTTCATAGGAACCTTTTCCGATGCCATAATAAGATCCTGTTGTGATTAATAATCTTTGTCCATTTTCCTGTGTTCTCTACATCAGAGAACAGTTGTTCTTGTTTTCTCATGATATTTTGTACCCACTCTGCTGCTCTCAAGCAAGAGATCCTGTTTCTGAACATCTCTTTACAGCAAGTGAGCAGCATGAACCTGGTTTCTATGCTTAAAAAACTTACATTAACATAAATATCCCTAATGAATACTGCCTTTAAACTTTCCTGCTAAAGGCTTTTATAAAATTGATGAAAAATTTACATACAGTGAATGCATGAAGTGTACAATCCAGTGAGTTCTGACAAACATAAACACTATGTAAGCCTTGCCAATTAAAACCCTTCTCAAGACAACCTGTTCTCTGATTTCTGACACCATAGGTTAGTTTTGTCTATTATTTAAACTTCATTCAAAAGGAACCACACAGTTTTTATATTATCTCTGGCTTCTTTTGTCCAATATCATGATTTTGAGATTTATGTTGAGTGATCAGTAGTTTACTTTTTTATTGCTGAGTAGCGTACCATTATGTAACATTTTAATCTTTTCTCCTGTTGATGGATTTCTGTGTTTCTAGTTTTTAGCTATTAGAAATAAAGCTACTATAAACTTTTTTGTTGAAGTCTTTTTTGTAGATGTCTTCATTTCTCTTGGGTATATATATGTGTGTGTATATGTGTATATATATGCATATATATATGAGTGGAATTTGTGGCTTGTAGTGTAGTAGTTGTATGTTTTAACTTTTTAAGAAATTGCCAAACAGGTTCCCAAAGTGGTTGTACCATTTTACATTCTCACCAGCAATATGAGAGAGTTCTAGGCACTGCAGATCTCACTGTGAGATGACAAATTATTTTTGAGCACCCTTCCATGTGCTTTTTGCCACTCACATCTGTTTGTAGTCTCTAGTCAAGCCTTTTCCAATTTATTTGTGTTGTTTTTTTACCATTGATTTTTAGGCATTTTATATATTCTAGGTACAAATCCTTTTTCAGATCTATATTTTGTGAAATTTTGTCAGTTTGTTATTTTGTCTTTTCATTTTAACTTTTTTTGATAAGCTTTTAATTTTTAACAAGTCCCAAGTTATTAATTTTTTATTTATGTACAGAACATTGCATCTTTTCTAAGAAATCTTTGTCTCCATGGTTCCCATCCTATATGCCCTAGAGCTATAGGATATTTAAAATTTTCAATCTCTTTTGGACACCACACACTGATAGCTCAATAGAGTTAACAGTTATCCAATATTAGATCTGTGTTATCTTGGGTAATGTGTCTTTGAAGCAAATATTGCATGACAGTAAGCAAGGATCATCAATAAGACAGTGTGGTGTTCAGTCTGATTCCCTGATAGAGAACTTGTATAGTATGCAACAGACACACATTATCAGTAAATACTCGTAGTTAAAAATGAAAAATATATTACTAAGATACTTAGGGCATTATGAACCAAGAAGGTTTGAGCAACTCTGGCCTATACCAAGTTTGCAAAGGTACTCTCTGTGTTTTCTTCTTGAAACTTTAGTTTTTGCTTCCATTTTCAGGCATTATTAAATTCACTGATTCTTAACAGTTTTATAGATTCCTTTGAATCTTCTATGTAAACAATAATGTAATCTGTAAATAAAGAACTTCATTTCTTTTCAATCTTTATGCATTTTCTTTCTTTTTCTTGCCTTATTGCACAGCCCTGAGCCCTCAGTATAATGTTGTATAGAAGCAGTGAGGTAGACATCATTGCCTTGGCCTTGTTCCTGATCTTGAGAATGCATTAAGATTTCATCATTTAGGCATGATAGTTAGCTGGGGGTTTTTGATAGAATCTCGTTACCAGATGAGGAGGTTCCTTTCCATCTAGTTTGCTGATAGTTTTTATCGTTTATAGATGTTGAATTTTATCACATTTGTTTTATCCATCTTATTGACATGATCATAAGGGTTTTCTCCTTTATTCTGTTAATGTGATGAATAAGGTTATTTTTAAATGTTTAACCAGATTTGCACTCCTGGTAGTTATGATGCAAAAATTACCTTTAAAAATATACTGTGGGATTTGATTTGCTAATTAATCATTTTTGTATTAATATTCATTAGAGAGATTGGTCTTTTACAATGGGTTTGTCAAATTTTGGAATTAGTTATATTGACCTCTTGGTTTTGTTTGTGTTTTTTTAAGATTTTTATTTATTTATTTGCCAGAGTGAGAGAGAGAGCACAAGCAGGGGGGTACCATCACACAGAGGGAGAAGCAGGCTCCCTGCAGAGCAAGGAGCCCAATCTGGGACTCGATCCCAGGACCCTGGGATCATGACCTGAGCCAAAGGCAGACACTTAACCAACTGAGCCACCCGGGCATCCCTGTATTGGCCTCTTAGACTAAATTTGGAAATGTTCTCACCTTCTCTCTTTTTCTGAAAGAATGTGCAAGATTGGTATTATTTCTTCCTTAAATGTTTGATAGAATTAATCAGTTAAATCTTGAGTCAGATGATTTCTTTCTGGTAAGGTTTTTGATACAAATTTAATTTATTTAATAGATATAAGGCTGTTCATATTTTCTACATTATCTTTTTTTTTTTAAAGATTTTATTTATTTATTCATGAGAGACAGAGAAAGAGAGAGAAGCAGAGGGAGAGGCAGGCTCCCAAGGAGCAGGGAGCCCGATGCAGGACTCGATCCCAGGACCCTGGGATCATGACCTGAGCCAAAGGCAGATGCTTAACCATCTGAGCCACCCAGGCACCCTCTACATTATCTTTGATTTTGTTATATTTTGGGGGGAATTTTTCCAGGTTGTCAAATTCAGTAGTAAAGGTGTGGTAATTTGCGTGTTTTCTCTTTTTTTTTTCATCAGTCTTGTTAGCTATTAATCATATTAATCCTGAAAGAAGCAAATTTTTACCGTTAATTTTTTTATAGTCCATTTATTTCATGCTCCTAGCTTTGTTTTCTTCCTTCAAATTAGACTTAATTTCTCTATCTAATTTTTCCTTAGGTAGAAAATTGGGGCTTTGTTTTAGTAAGTACTTTTTCACCCATACTATAAAACGCTGTCTCCCTTGTGATCGGTAGCAGCCAAAATCTAAGTTTAATTCTTTTAGCTTTAGGTGGGACACCAGCTGTGCATGCATGGCTCAGGCATCATTCAGAGACCTGGACAGAGTTTATACACAGGATTTGGGGCTCTCCCTTTTAGTCTCTCTCCTTGGGCTTTCCCACCTCACTTTCTAGTAGTTATGGTGGCCTCAACTTGTCTTCTGGTCCCTTATGCCAATTCAGACTGAGATTTTCTCTCAGAATTTTGGCTGCCCCAAATGGCAAAGATTGGTGCCTGTCTTCAGGCCAAAAGCCATTTTGGCCCAGTTGTTAAGCGTTTGCCTTCGGCTCAGGTCATGGGTCCTGGGATCGAGCCCCGCATCGGGCTCTCTGCTCCACAGGAAGCCTGCTTCTCCCTCTCCCTCTCCCCCTGCTTGTGTTCCCTCTCTCACTGTGTCTCTGTCAAATAAATAAATAAAAAATCTTTAAAAAAAATAAAAATAGAAAATCACTATTGTCCCTTCTTTCAAGTGTTGCCTCCTTTCCATGAACTGACTGTTATTGTTCATTTTCTAGTGTCTCTAGAACCCAGGTCATTGATTTTTAAGATGTTCTTTGTAAATGAGACCTAAAGATAATTGCCTTTTAAGCACTATTTTAGCTATATCCCATACATTTGGGTATATTGTATTCTCAGTATCATTCAGTTCAGATCACTCAGTATTGTCCCAGAGGTGACCAAGGCTCTGTTAATTTTTCAGTCTTTTTTTCATTCAAAAGACTGAAATATGGTTAATTTCACGTGCTCTTTGTTCACATTCACTGAGCCTTCTGCTGTTACTGCCACCCAGTGAATTTTATTTTAGATATTATACTTCAGTTCTAGAATGTACGTTTTTAAAACTTCAGTTTCTTTGCAAGTATTCCCCCATGTGTTCACGCATGATGATCTTTTTAAAAATCTGAACATATTTGTAATAGTTACTTTTAGGTTCTCTGCTTATTCCAGTATGTGGGTCTATGGGTCCTTTTAGCATCTGTTGACTACTTTTTCTCTTGACCATGGCTCCCTTCTTTATAGGATTTCAACCCTCAGTTTCCAGCCACCTTGGCAGGCCCAGTTCCATCCTCTGACCTCTCAAGCAAATAAGACTGGTTTTCTCTGTGTTCTGGTGAAACTGTGTGCTTTGAATGGGGCAGTGTTGTCAGTACAAATTATATAAATGAAGATCTGACCCAGTTTGGGCCCCTTTTAAGGATTGACTCCTCCTTTGGTCACCCTTCAGAGCCTTCATATAATTGTTTTTTGTTTTGTTCAGAGTTTATAATTGTTATCTGCAAGAAGGCTGGTCTGATGAGGTACTTCACCATTACTGGAATCTCCTAAAATTTCATCTTCTTTGAGTTTTACTGGGTTGAAGTACATCTGGTGTTTAGATACACCACCATTTGTTGTTGACTCCGTCTAAAAACAGGTCCATTTAATTGAGGATATTTATACCCTTCACACAGGTGATATGAGCATGACGAAACTTTTTTTTTTTTTTTTAGATAAAGATATTAAGAATGCTTTGGGGGCACCTGGGTGGCTCAGTCAGTTAAGTGTCTGCCTTTGGCTCAGGTCATGATCCCAGGGTCCTGGGATCAAGCCCTGTGTCAGGCTCCCTGCTCAGTGGAGAGTCTGCTTCTCCTTCTCCCTGCTTGTGCTCTCTCTTGTTGTATCTCTCTCAAATAAATAAGTAAAATCTTTAAAGATATTTAGAATGTTTTATCGTGCCTGTATTAAAGGTGACCACTTATCCATATTTTATATTTTCAGGTCATTGACTTTTGATATTTAATATTTTAATTTTCTCAATTTAGACGAGTTTGGTGCTTTGGAAAGTGTGAAAGCTGCTAGTGAACTCTATTCTCCTCTATCAGGAGAAGTAACTGAAATTAATGAAGCTCTTGCAGAAAATCCAGGACTTGTCAACAAATCTTGTTATGAAGATGGTAAGTTGTTGCTAGAAAATTTTTCAAAGGATTATTGCTGCAGTTAACATTTAGAGTTTAAAGCAAGCTTTAGCAGATTGGAACTTCATCTTTTTGTACTTTTTTTTTTTTTAAGATTTTATTTATTTGACAGAGAGAGAGAGACACAGCGAGAGAGGGAACACCAGCAGGGGGAGTGGGAGAGGGAGAAGCAGGCTTCCCGCGGAGCAAGGAGCCCGATGCGGGGCTAGATCCCAAGACCTGGGATCATGACCCGAGCTGAAGGCAGGCGCTTAACGACTGAGCCACCCAGGCGCCCCTCTTTTTGTACTTTTTGATACGAAATAGCGATGTTTTGCTTTAAAAAAGGGAAACACAGATTAGCTGAATATATAAGGTTAGCTTTAAGGGGCGCCTGGGTGGCTCAGTTGTTAAGTGACTGCCTTCAGCTCAGGTCATGATCCTGGAGTCCCGGGATCGAGTCCTGCGTCGGGCTCCCTGCTCGGCGGGGAGTCTGCTTCTCCCTCTGACCCTCTTCCCTCTCATGCTCTCTGTCTCTCATTCTCTCTCTCAAATAAATAAAATCTTTGGGGGAAAAAAAAAAAGGTTAGCTTTAAGATCTCTGTCAATAAAAGCACTGCCTTCTTTTACAGGGTTCCTAGCATTACAAGTATAGACTTTTTATGAACACTTTCAAAGTATTTAACTCTTCAGATATAAAGGTAGTAATAGAATAATACGTATTGCATCAGTTTTGTCATATTTTCATCTTCTGAATAACCCAGTGAAGTATGGTAGCAGCAGTTTTCTCCATTTTGTACATGAATTACAAAATTAAGATTATCTTGTAGTTTTCTGTTGCCTGTCACCTAGCCCTTCTAACTCTAGTAGTGCTTTCTGCTCCCTCCTCCCCTTCACCTCAGCAGTTACAATGTCGGTGTTCCTTCTGTTAAAGAAAGATATCCCTGGTCTTGTATATTTGGATCCCTCAATGTTGTTGATGGTTGCGACAACTTGAGGTTTTTTGTTGTTTTTAATTTTTAAAAATTTAATTCTAGTATTGTTAACATATAGTGTTTATATTAGTTTCAGATGTACAATATAGTGATTCAGCAATTCTACACATTACTCATAGCTTATCATGATTAATGTACTCTTTTTTTTTTTAAAAGATTTTATTTATTTGAGAGAGAGAGAGAGAATGAGAGAGAGCACGAGAGGGAAGAGGGTCAGAGGGAGAAGCAGACTCCCTGCCGAGCCGGGAGCCCGGTGTGGGACTTGATCCCGGGACTCCAGGATCATGACCTGAGCCGAAGGCAGTCGCTTAACCAACTGAGCCACCCAGGCGCCCAATAAATGTACTCTTTAATCCCCATGCCATATTTCATCCATCCTTCCACCTATCTTGCCCTAATAATTATCAGTTTGTTCTCTATACTGAAGAGTGTCTCTTTTTTTTCCCTTTGTTTGTTTTGTTTCATAAATTCCACATATGAGGGGTTTCTGGGTGGCTCAGTCAGTTAAGTATCCAACTCTTGACCTCAGCTCAGGTCTTGATTGGGGTCATGAGTTCAAGCCCCATGTTGGGCTCCAAGCTGGGTGTGCAGGCTACTTTAAAAAATTCCACATATGATTGAAATCCTGTGTTGTCTTTCTCTGACTATTTTGCTTAACATTATACTATCTGGCATCATCCATGTTGTTGCAAATGGCAAGATTTCATATTTTTCTTAATGACTGAGTAATTATCCATTTTATACACATAAACGCACATATATATACACCACATCTTCATCCATTCATCTGTTGATGGACACCTGGGCTGCTCCATAGTTTGGCTATTTTAAATAATGCTTCAGTAAACATAGGGGTGCATATAGCCTTTTGAATTAGTTTTTGCATTCTTTGGATAAATACTCAGTAGTGCAAATACTGGATCATAGGGTTTAACTTTTTGGGGCACCTCCATACTGTCTTCCAGTGGCTGCACCAGTTTGCATTCCCACCAACAGTGCACATCTAGTCAACACTTTGTTTTTTGTGTTTTTTTATTATAGCCATTCTGACAGGTTTGAGGTTAAGAGTTCTTAATCCATTATAGTGGAATCTATTCTGGCTTTAATTCTTTTCATTTGTGATATGCAAGGATATTAACTGAATTCTTAAGGCTAAAATATAAAGCTCCTTGAATAATGAGTGATTTATGTAAAGAATACTAGATCAATTTAAAAAGGTAATTTGGAATATGATACTTTTTTTCGGTTGCAGGTTGGCTGATCAAGATAGCACTCAGTGATCCTTCAGAACTGGATGAATTAATGAGTGAAGAAGCATATGAGAAATACATAAAATCTATTGAGGAGTGAAAATGGAACCCCTAAATAAACTAGTATGAAACAACTTAATCTAGCATAGTTGTCTTAAATTAGTGGTACACAGAGGATTTAAAATAGCAGCTATTAGCAATACCTGTGGAGAAAGAAACTACTTGCAACAATGCTAATGGAAGAAAATACCCCTTAACTTTATAATGATTGCAGAAAAACACAACATGCATCTGTTTTGCAACACCCTCTGATTTTTATGCTCCAGTTATAATATTCAGAATCCTGAAATTATCTTTGGTTAAGAACTAGTTATAAAAATTATGTAATTCAAGGATGACATTGTTACCTTAAGCCTTAAGCTTACATCTATCCCTGGATGGGGGTCAAAATGCTTAAATAATCTTTCCATTGGAAATAACTGGCAGTAGAGAAAGGTTTGTTAGTTGTTATGTGTCAGATGAAGAACAATACTACCTTAATTTTGCAATATACTGCACTTGCTGGTGCTATTTTTATACAATGAAGCAACAGCCTTGCAGGAAGATAGTTTAATAATAAAACATTCAACTTCTTTGTTATTCATGTTTTTTGTTTTAATATTTCATTTAGTGACTCTGCTAGTATTTGTGAAAATGCTAATTTTAACTTATGGAAAGTTATTTTTTTTTTTAAAGATTTTTTATTTATTTATTTGAGAGAGAGAATGAGAGACAGAGAGCACGAGAGGGAAGAGGGTCAGAGGGAGAAGCCGACTCCCCGCCGAGCAGGGAGCCCGATGCGGGACTCGATCCCGGGACTCCAGGATCATGACCTGAGCCGAAGGCAGTCGCTTAACCAACTGAGCCACCCAGGCGCCCCTGGAAAGTTATTTTTTTTAAAGGAAATTTAAGCCATAGCAATGAAAGGTTCCAAGAAAATGTTTCCTTTTAGTCACAAATCTGGTTTTTCTTAAAGACCTAATTGCCTGATAGCATTAAGTACCATTTTGGTCATCTTTAATATACTCACAAAGAAAGCACTGACTGGTGGTTTTTGTTTTGTGTTGTTTTGTTTTTTGTAATGCTTCTAGGTTAGAAGAAAGAAGAGGAAAACAAGGAAAGGTAAAAGTTGGATAAGCACAACACTTGGCATCCTTAAGAAAGTAAACCACATTCAGGTTTCCACTTTAATGGGAACAAAAATGGACATAGTGAAACTTTTTATGAGCTCGCACATTCACTTAGTGAATATTCTTCGCAGCTTAAGCAAATTTAGTGCCCACTGGTGTTTTTAAGTAGCTAAATAGCATATTTTCTAAGCCAAGTATAATATGCTGATATTTTGAAGGGGATATTATATATACACACAAAACTGTAAATATATATAAATACACACATACACATAGCAAGAGCAGACAAACCTCTATCATTTTTCCCAGTTAATGCAGGAAAAGGGATGTATTCAAATACTACCACCTTCTGAGGGTAAATAAACTGCAAATGTGAAAACCTAGATGAAATAGGTAAATAACAAATATTTCCTGCTCCTCAGGAGAGAGAAACTATCCTTTAAGGGCCATGTCACTGCTGAGCTATATCTCTGCACCCTTATCAAGAAAGTATCGAAAATATTTTGGATGACTGTTTTCCTTGTTTGTATAATTATTAGTCAATTTTTATTTATTAAAAATTAATTTACTCTGCTTTAGAAATAGAATGAGTAATAATTACATAGATTTACTCTTTTGTTTTGAAGTACTCTCATACATTACCTTCTTTGATGATTAAAGCAATATCCAGAGCTAGGTAGGACAGATCCATAAATACCACCATTTCACAGGAAAGAAAGGTAGTAGAGAGGGTAAGACACTTAAAGAGCTGGACACTTAAAAATCCATAGTTAGGATTTTCATATTTCCTGGTCCATTCTTTATCAGTTCTTTAGCTAGTGTTACTATAAAAATACTTATATTGGAATAGGGATGGTAGGGAGGGAGAATGAATGTTCTAAAGGGAGGAAGCATGCAAAAATGGCAATTCCAGAGTGAAAGGACATCAGTGATTATAATCTGAAAGAGATGGGCAGTTTTTATTCTCCCATCCTTTCCCAAAGACACACGCTTGCTTTGTTAGGCTCCCTTTGAGCTTTTTCAAAGAGCTGAACAGTATGGCAACTTGCTCTTTTGCTATTTAGAATACAGAACTATTTCAACCCTCATTTGTATCGTAGTGCTGCCAAAAATAACAGGCGTTGAATGGCCTTCCAAACAGTAAATCAAGAGAGAATTTAATTTCTTTGACCTCATAATTCCTTTTGAATGGTTTTGGTCTTAATAGAGCATTTTAATAAAGGTTTTTAGTAATGCTTGCTAATAATTAAAACTCAAGAAACAGAACAGGTTACCCTAGAGGTATTACAAAAATCTTTTTATCACCTTAAAAATTTTATGACCTCCCCAAGTTTAAAGAAGTTGACAACATTAAGTTTTAAGAAAGAAACTAAGGGGCGCCTGGGTGGCTCAGCTGGTTGAGCATCTGATTCTTGGTTTCAGTGGGGTCATGATCTCAGTGTTCTGGGATCTGCCTGCATCAGGCTCTGACCTCAGCAGAGAGTCTGCTTGAAATTCTCCCTCTACCCCTCCCCCTGCTTCTGTGTTCTCTCTAAAATAAATAAATCTTGGGGCACCTGGGTGGCTCAGTTGGTTAAGCGTCTGCCTTCGGCTCAGGTCATGATTCCAGGGTCCTGGGATCGAGCCCCACATGGGGCTCCCTGCTCCGCGGGGAGGCTGTTTCTCCCTCTTCCACTCCCCCTGCTTGTGTTCCCTCTCCCGCTATATCTGTCAGATAAATAAGTAAAATCTTTAAAAAAAAAATCTTTTTTAAAAATTATGCTAACTGTAACTGTCCTTATTACTGCTTAACAATCACTATTCTTTCTTTCTTCCCTGCAAATGGCTTTACTACTATCTATCCCCATCAGTATTTTCCCTTTCTAGGCCAGATTTAGGTTCACAGAAAAATTAAATAGAAAATACAGTTTTCATATATCTCTTGCCTCCATCTTTCTGTTCTTGAAACATTCCTTGGCCAATTCTAGGACCTTATTCTACTAGAGCTTCTGGTATCTTGATTCAGTCTATAATTACAAAACAGTTGTCCCTTAATGTTTCTGCTCAGTCATGCTATCAGGTTTTTACCTGCTAAACTTCAACAGTGATTACCACTAGCCCATTTAAAAGCAAGGTGTGCAGGCACAGTTACTGTAAAGGAAATCAGTTACCATCTTCCAAGTTTCCACATGTGCTTCATGAGAACATGCTTACAGTCATGTTTAATTAAGAGTCATTTAGTAAAATACTTCGTTAAAATTTTTGGTATACGTCCCAGAAACAGAAAGGAGCTTTAATGAGTGGGTAACAAAGCCTTCTGCTAGTCAGGTGATTTCAAATTTTCTGTTAACTGATTTCTCTGGAAAGGAGTTCTTAAAAACTTGAGAAACTGCTATAACAAAACCTCTTCCATATGCATCTTCATATGAACAAGGTATCTCAGATTATATATGTTTAAAAAATGAATAAAATTGGGGCTGAATCTGTCTCATTCTAGCAGTATGTGACATTTATCCAGATACAAGAATTGCAGAGGGGAGGAACAGTGCCACCCATTTCATTCCGATATACTTCCAGCAACATTAATATTTATCAACACATTTAATACATTCCTACTATTTGTCAACTGAGTAGGGATAAAGACAATTCTCGATCTGGAAAAACAATGGACTGTTTTTGCCTTATGGTGTTTAAGTTTCACTTTCAAATTTTTTTTTTTTTGCACATCAAATTGACAAGACTACTCAATTAAGTCTTGACCATTTGACCATAAATATGTTAGAATAAAGTTCTGTGTAGGAAGTAGAATTAAGAATACAATTAACGAATTTAAGAAGAAAAAAAATTGTCTTTTAGTTTATATTTTTAAATAGATGTTGATGGGTATCAAACTGTTAACTAGATTTCTTTCAGTACCTTTCAAAGAGGGTTGTAACATTTTTATTTTTAAGATTTTACTTATTGGAAAGGGAGAGCGCACGAGTGGGGTAAGGGGCAGAGGGAGAGAATATCCAAGCCGACTCCCCAATGAGCGCAGAGCCTGATGCAGGGCTCAATCTCACAACCCATGAGATCAGGACCTGAGCCAAGTAGAGACTGGGACACTTAACTGCCTAAGCCACCCAGGTGGCCTGGGTGTGACATTTTTAAATGCCAACATTTATGATACTTTGCTACCATTTAAATTTATGAACGTTTTATGTTTAAAAATGTGCAATGACGTAATGCAGTTTTGTACAATTGTTTTTACAAGTATGAAGGCATACCATTTCTTTCTGGTTGTGAGATACAAGATCCAAATATGCATATTTTAGGCAAAGAAATTACACCTAAAAAAGTAGTAATAGCTAGAAAAGTACTTTGTTCTAACATCCCAGAATAATTACACAATAGTCTTTCCGTAGACTTTCCAGGCATTCTAATTACTACTGTGGGTTCTGTTTAAAAAAAAAAAAAGGCAGTAATACATAGCTATCTTTCCAAATGCCTCTTTATCACAGTGCTATAAAAGACATTCTAATGCTTTTACACAACAGAATTATTCACACACACACACTCACACACACAAACAACAACTAGAAAGCAGGCCGGCTTTAGGATCAGACGTGAGTTGGGTCCAGGCTCCACCACTGAATAACCTGGCCTGGGCCATAGGTTCCCACCGCTGGCTGAACCTCGAGGTGTTCAAAAGTGCGAGGACCAAAGGAGGGGAGCAGTGGGTAGCTCTGCCCAGTTCGTCGTCTGACTTAAGGGCGTAAGGCTACTTCCCTTCAGGGTTGTACCGCAACACGACGCAAGTTCAACGAGCGCGACGTGGTGTCGCCAGCGGATTCAAACTAGTACTGCCCCGTCAAGCAAGCGGGGCCCGAAAGTTAAAGAGCAGATTCCACTAGGAAGTTTCTGGCCCGCAGTCGCTCTCCTGGAGGAGGGGCAATTTGGGAACAGCTGGCAAAGCTGGGGACCTTTTTGGTTGCCGGGCATCTAGAGGGTGAGGCCACGGATGCTGCTAAGCATCCTACAACGCGCAGAGGAGTCCCCCTCCCTTAGCCCCATCCGGCCCGACAACAGTGCCGGGCGTGAGATCCCGGGTTTCTGAGGGGAAGCCGGCCCTACGGCCCTCTCTTTCTAACTCCACCGTCCGCGGGGCATCCGGCCGCTGCGTCCATCTCCCTGACCCGCGCTTGGTCTTACACCTTACCTCAAACGCGTCCTCAGGCGCTCACAGCCGGCCGCCTATCCTCAGGCGCGGTTGGGGCGGGGAAGGTGCGCAGCTGCGCAGAGCCTGCTGGGAGCACGTGCCCACAGCCGTCAGCCAGAGGCGTCTCCCGCGCTCAAGCTTTGTTACGCAAGGCGGGCTCTGCATCACTTCCGCGACAACCCCCCGCGGGCCCCGCCCCCAGCGCGTCCGTAACCCAGGGCAACTGTCG